TATGGCTGCCTACGCTTGTCGAACTGCGTTCTGCATCTCGTTGAACGTTTCTTGATTGAGCGCCATGCTTGGTCTCGCGGCGCTTCTCGCCGCTTCTCACGTTCTTCACGTAGTTCAGGTACTGCCCGAGCTGTGACCAGTAGCCTTTCGGCCTCTTGATCTTGATTGCCTCTTCGCGTCTTCGGCCCTTCTCGAACCTCTGGAAAAGCTCCCCACGATATTGTTTCGCTGACGCGAGGAAATGCCGCGAGCTGAAGGGGTCGGGGTCGATGGGTGCCTGAGTCCAAACCCAGCCTGCCCTAAGGCGGACTCGCGCATCGCACAATATGTCCCGGAGGCGGCGGGGGAGGCGGATGGCAAAATGAAATCAAATAAGCGTGATGCCGAAGAGGAACGAAATACCTGAGGGGAACAATGAGATGGAGCAGATGAAGCACAAGACAATCCCCCTGCCCGCTTTACCAGTGGGGGGACAAAGAGGGGGAACACTAGAAGCACAATGCAATCTCCCTGCCCGCTTTTCCCCCCATTCCAATCAAGATTGAATGCCGTGGAAATTTCCCGAGACACAACATCCCCGGATACCTCTGGGGATCTCCGAACACGTCTCCACGGAAAAGAAAAGAGACGGATAAAACAGTAGCGCGTTCCCAGCCCAGCCGTAGATTCATCTGCCCCCCCCCGCGGGACAGCGCCCCTTTTGTTATGATCGCGAACGCATCGTGGCCCGGATCAGATCTCTTTGATATCCCTCCGCCAGCCCCCGCTCCCCCAAGAGAAAGTCCCATGTCGAACTGACTCGGTAGCCGCCGATCTTATTTGCCAGATATGAGGAGGCGTGTGAGCGTTTGGCTGCACCCCTCCCATCGGTTCCTCCTCTTGAAGGGTTCAACATCATGGCTACAGGGGGGGCGAATCGCCAACGCACCTCCGACTTCATTGCAAGTTATGACTGCAACTTCATCGCGTCCCGCCGTTAGTTCACATCCGTTTTTACCTCTGACTGGCACGTGTGAGTTCGGGACGGAGAGTTTGGCTGCTACCTCGACGGTTACGTCTCCAGACTCTGCCCATGGTGCACGTCACACGGCTGTCAATTTGTCCTTGGCCTCTCCCGAAATGATTGCCGAACTGCAGTCGGTGGGACATGTACGTCCTGACTGAATTGGTTACTTCATGTAGGAGAGGGGTTCATGCATGGGTTCTTGGACTCCGTCTTAGATTGCGTACCAGGTAAGCTTCGCAGAGCTTGGTGGAAGTGTCCAGGTCTACGCCATATAACTACTAGAACCATCGCGCGCGCTTCGCGCGCGCTCGAGTTCTAGCTAGGGTCATGATCATCGTCATCATGGTCATCCTCACCCCCGTCATCTTCATCGTCGTCATGGTCATGGCCACCTTCACCATTACCATCACAACAATCATCAGTATCACCAGTATCATCAGCATCGTGATCACCATCGCCACCAGCGTCATCATACTGTTCAGCATCGCCATCCGCATCATCAACATCTTGTCGATCGTCGTCGGCGTCGTCGTTGGCATAATCATCGCCATCATCATCAGGGTCATCGCCGTCATCATCCCTGGTGCACTGCAATCCCCTTCCCCTCCTCCTCCCGTTCTATCCCTTCCCATCATCTTATACTCATGTTTTTCCTCGTCGGCGTCTCCCTGAAAGACATCCCTGTTCCTTCTCCTCCTCCTCCTCCTCTTCCCCCTCCTTCTCCTCCTCCTCCTCCCTGTCTTCCCCGCTCTTCGGTGTGTCCCTCCTTGTGTTCCTTCACCAACTTCACCTCCTTCCTCCTCTCGAACCCTCTCCATCCTGCGCTCCCCTTCCCTCCTCGTCCTCAGCATCCCTCCCAGAGACAGAGAATCAGAGAACGACAAGATAATCTTACAAGAACAGTGTCCCTCCTCCTCCTCCCCCTCTTCCCCCTCTTCGTCCTCCTGATCTTCCTCCCCCCACCTACCTCCTCCACCCCTCCTCCCTCCTCCCCTCCCCTCCCTCCCTCCTCCTCCTCCTCTTGCTCCTCCTCCTCTTCCTCCTTCTCCTCCTTCTCCTCCTCCTCCTCCTGGTGACGCGGATGATGGCATTCGGCCCATCCCGCGCCTGGGTTGGGGATTAACGCCCTCTTGGGTGGCTGCTGGGGTCTCGGAACCTGCAGGGAGCCTCTTGGAGGCAATTGTGAACCTTGTAGGGGTCTCTCGGGGGCCTTTTGGGAGCCTCTTGGGGGCTTTTGAACTCTCTTGGGCTCGCTTGGGGGTCGTTTGGGGATCTTGGGGACTCTTGCGGGCCTCCTGGGGGCATGTGTTGGTCTCTTGGGCACCTCTTGGGAGCCTCCTCAGGGTCTTGGGGATCCTCTTGGGGCGGGAAACTCGAACTTACAATTCGAACGCCCCCTCTGGGGCCCGTGTTGGGGCCCGCTTGGAGCGTTCTTAGGCGCCTTTTGGGCCGTCCTGAAATCCTCTTTGGCCGTGTTTGGTGTGCTGGAGCCCGGGGCCCCCGGGGCCGGGTTTCCAGAATATGAATTATGGGTGTGCAAGGTTTTCGACGGCTTCTAGCCCTTTTCTAACCCTTTTCGGCTCAAACTTTCTCCTCCGCCTGGCCCTCTGCGCCAATTTGCCAGCCAACCGCCACGCTGCTTTGCAGTCGTTTCGGTTGCCGTCCACGGCAACAGGAAACAACAATCCAGAACAATTCCAACGCTGCCAAGTGTATCCAATGGCTCAGGTATGGCCACAGGATGCCCGAACATGGCACCAAGATGACACCAGAAGGTCGTCAGAGGTTCCAGCCTAGCTCTGTCGAGATCAAACAAGACCGAGACATCATTCGAATTGCCTAGGTGTGTTTCCCATATCCGAAGGATTGGGTCATTGTTGTTAGTGTGATGCCTCCACCTCCTTCATTCCTCCTTCCCGTCTCCTCCTTGCCGACACTCAGACTCACTCATACCCACACTCACACTCAGACTCACTCATACTGAGACTCAGACTCGTGCTCATGCTCACTCATACTCAGACGCACTCATATTCAGACACAATTGCACTCAGACTCTCATAATCACCCATATTCAACCTACCCACATCGAGGCTCAGATATATCCCGACTCACTGACACTCAGATTCACTCACACACAGACTACTCACACTCAGATGCACTCATACTCAGCTTAGCCATCGCAAGACTCAATCATAATCTGACTCAGTGACGCGCAGACCCGCTGACACTCAGACCTCACGCTCATTTCCAGATCAGGCTCACACGCATTCAACCACACTCGGACTCGGTCGTGCTCAGTCGAACTCATACCACACGTCGCAAGCGTGGCACTCGTGTACCCCAAGGGGGGAACCGCCAGGGAGGGGGACACTCGCTTGTTCGCGCCTAGATTGTGGGGATGTCTCATGGAGATCTCACTCACAGACAGGAGTGACAGGAACTGAACTGCACATATAGGATGTCCACGTCGAAAACATATAACATGGGACATTCTCTACTCCCCACGTTTCGCTTCATGCCCCAAGGTTGTCACCAAAGGTCTCGGAGAGGTCCAAGAGGCCCTCCAAAGACCAGAAGGGTCAACATGCCCCCGAGATGTCCCAAAGATCCACTCGCAAACAACAAACAGGCTTGTAAGACTGCCCCCAGACGGCTTCAAAACGGCCCAAGGCCGCCCCTCGGCGGCCCCAAGACCTCCCCTCCTGCAAAACTGCCCCACAACCCCCAAAGGACATCAAACTGGCACCAAGACTACGGAACAATTCCTGGGGGGTCTGCGTCAAAACTTTTAAGTGCTCTTGAGCCCGTTCGAAGGTTCATAAGAACTGGTTACGCGGGGTTACGCGCACGAGTTAGCAGAACTAAACGAACCAAGCCGGATTAAATGGGACGGGTGAGCAGGTTCAGAGCCAGAGTCGGCAAGTTTGGGACCTGGGAAATTCCAGCGCCGACTATGAATTCAACCTCCCAGGAGTTGCATCCTAACCAAGACACACCAAAGAGCCCACCCAGAGCCCACGATGGCCCAACAAGGGCCCCCAAGCGCACTGGGACGGGCTCGAGTGTTCGCCCACACGCGCGTTGCGGCGACAAATGCCCCCAACTCTTGCTGACAAGAAGATTTCCATGCTAGTTTTCTCCGCCCCACTCTGGGGGCACCTGAGCTGTCGTCTCCAATACTTGAAATGGGAACTTCGAACAAACTGTAAGCCACTCGAGGCCCAAGTAGAACATATAATCGGCGTGGCATGATGTTGGGGGACGGGGGAGAACGACCGTTGTGAACTGGTTCTACGCCCGCCCGCACATACGTTCATTGCGCTGGAATTCAATACGCGCGCCTGGAATCATCATGGCTACGTATGGATGGTGGCTGCTAGATCCTCCCGCAATGACTCTCAAAGTGCCCATGGTCTCACCGTCCCACTTCGACATGGTTATCCTGGAAATCAGGCTCGTGTTGTGTTTTGGTTCTAGGGTCGAAATGGTTGTTCTCGCACATGCGATCGATCATATCCTCGTTCCGCTCCTCCTTGTCCATATCCATCCCTCTCCTTCTCATCTCCTCTTCATCCATATTCCATGGACTTCGCTGTTCCACTTTGCTCAGCTCGTGCTTTCCTTGTATGCTACCTACAGGTCCTTGTGTCCTCCTCTGTTACTTGGCCAAATATTTCCCGTCCTCGTTTCCATCACCTCCTCCGCTACCCCCTTTCGCGCCGCTCAAGTCCTTCATCCCTCATGGTATCAAGAGCGTCCCTCCGGTAGTCCTGGCTTCTCCCAGGAGCCACAAACCATGAGCCGCACCCTCCTGGTCCGCCCTCTGCCGCGGTCTCTGGGGGTCTCCAGGGGTCTCCGCGGAGGCGCACGCAGGAGCCCAGAGAGCGCTTGAAACGAACTCGGCTCTCGTTCCTCTGCAGCTCCTGCCCGAAACCCTGGTGCCGCCGCCCTCCGAAAGCGCGCGCGATGCGGCGGCGCAGGTGGGGTGGGGGGCCTGGTCCGCGACCAGGGCAACGAACCGCGGCTTGTGCGCGCTCCACTGTGCCAGAGCCCTGCGCCCCCGCCCCGCGCCGCGGACTCCCCCCCACGCTGGTAGAGGGACCTTTCGGCGAGGCCTCGCCGGAAAAGCTCTTTCCCCCCCCCATTTCCTCCTCCTCCTCTTCCTCCTCCTCCTGCTGCGCATCCAGGTCCCCCTGATCCTTCTGCCTCGTCAACCCTGCCTCCCTCTCTCCCTCCCTCCTCCCTTCTCCCCGTGCCTCCTCCTCCTCCACTTCCACTTACCTGGTGCCTCACGTGTGGGAGCGGGGGGGGGGCTATCGGAGGGTCCCTGCCGTGAGTTCCTGGTGCGCAGCGGCCCCGCGTAGCCGCACAGAGGGATTCCAGTGCGCTGATCCTGCTCAGGATCGAGGAGGGGGAAGGAGAAGAAGAAGGACTATAACCGATGAGGAAGGAGGAGGGAGGAGGAGGGAGGAGGAGGAGAAATATCGAGGGTCGAGGATCGAAGCATCTTGGACCTCCGAAGCTTCTGGGGACCTCTGAAGGCTTCCAAAGGATTCCGGAGACCGACCTAGTGCTGACAGGCCATGTTCAGATTCCCTTTGGGAGGCCGCCCTGGCGGGGCTGGAACAGATGGTGTTTCAGGGCCACTCCGTTTCGCCGAGGCATCGGCGACGTCGTGACGGAGAACATCGGGCACCGAACCGCGCCACATTGCCGATGCGTCGCGATCCGCTGACCCGATCTGCGGCGCGCTCTCGTTGCGATGACGCCAGCCTTGGTTGCTGACACCCCGTGGATCGCGGAACTTTGAACGATTGAAGCTCTCCGATAGCGCAGATCGCTCGATGTCCTGAGCCTTTCCTTAGGGTGGAGGGCTCAGGATGAAATCCACATGGCCTTTCGCATCTCGAACATCAATCCGTCTTGTGATTCACCTTGTGCAAATTCAAGCCCAGAGTCACCATTTTGCCCTCCACCAAAAAAAAACGCTCGGATGTCGGCCGATTCCGGGCCACTGGCGGCGCTCAACCTTGAACGCCCGCCGGGGGGGTGGGGGCGCCGCGCCAACGCGGCGCGAGCCTACCGCACCTCGAGCCCCCCGCCCCACGCGGGCCCCCCAGGATGGATCGGAAGTTGGGCGAGGGCTGGCAAATCCGTGGCTGCTCACACGGTCTTCCCGGAAGAAGGAATCCCAGAATGAAGCACAGCGCACTAAGGAATAACCAGGCTGCTCCCCAGAAGGAAAAAACGGAGCTCCGCTTCAGCACCCAAGGGTTTGCCAGCCTTCGCCCGGCTTCTGAATGGAGGGGGCCACGACACTGCCCGACGCCCACAAACGAGTGGGTGCCCACCTACGGCAAGCCCGTGGGCCACAGCATCCCTGGGGGTCGGCGGAGGGCCTCCCCACGCCGCACCCTGCCCGGGCCGCAGCCGGCAGCAACCGCAGAGGCGCGCCGCTCCCCGCAAGAGACGCAGCCGCAGAGGGCGAGGGCCTCTCGCGGCGAGGGCGGGAGGCCGAACGACGAGGCAGGAGGAGGAGGAGGAGGAGGAGGAGGAGGAGGAGGAGGAGGAGGAGGAGGAGGAGGAGGAGGAGGAGGAGGAGGAGGAGGAGGAGGAGAGGCAGGAGGAGGAGGAGGAGGAGGAGGAGGAGGAGGAGGAGGAGGAGGAGGAGGAGGAGGAGGAGGAGGAGGAGGAGGAGGAGGAGGAGGAGGAGGAGGAGAGAGGAGGAGGAGGAGGAGGAGGGCGAGGGAGGAACGGGGAGGCGAAGGGAACCAAACGGGCGAGGGAACCCCGCCGCCCCTCCGCCGCGCCGCCCCCCTCCCTCCCGAGCACGCACGCGCAGGGCGTGTTTGCCCCCCGAACGCCCTCCCGCCGCCTCACATTTGGACGCCCGACGTGGGCACGGTGGGTGCATGTTTTTAAACTCAAAGGCCCCACAGGGCCCGCGCATGCAGCTGGATTCGAAAGCGCGGGCGCTAGCCGCGCTCGCGGGCCGCGGCCGCCGCCGCCCGCTCGTCCCGCGCCGCCCGCTCGTCCCGCGCCGCTTGGCCCCTGGCCCGCGCCAGTGCGAGCTCGCCGAAGCCGCAAGCGCTCCACCGACTCCAGGGGCGGCGCGATGAGCGCCCAGGGCCTGGAGGCCGGTGGAGCTCCAATCGAGGCCTGGCCATGGGCACCACCGCCGCCCTCATCAGAGAAAAAATCCTCCAGGGTCTGCAGCATCCTGGGCACATTCCTTAAACAACGCCCCCACCGTACGGAAACAAAAATGTCCAATACCCAACAAATGCTGCGCAAAACCAGCAGCGGCCGCCGCTGGGCAGGCGGCCCCCCGCTTAAAAGGATCCACGCCCGCGGCGGCACCGACAGCGAGCGCTGCTCAGAATGCGCAGGGACTGCTGCTGGCAGGGAACCCGCTGGGGACGTACGCGCCCAACCATGTACATGAACACGGCCGCTCGATCCGCGAGACCGTGCGCGTGATACGAACAGTCGCGCCATGTACGAAAACAACGTGGGCTCATGCACGTGCGCGTCCTTCTGTCGCTCCTGAGCTGGTCCTTGTGCGCCCGCTCTTTCCGTATGGCAGATTCGTGACGTACTCACCCTGGCGTTGGTTTCTGACGCCTCGAAAATCGTTCAACCTTGACCGATCGGCCGTGTCCGCAACGCCCGATCGTTCCACGTCGCCCGATTTTGGGCCGCCGCCAGCCTTCCACGGGGAACGCCGCTGGTGGGGTTGCCACCGGTCGACACGACACGAGCCTACCGTTAGGTCGGACATGCCCCCCCATACAGGGGGATTTTGGCATAGAGGGTGCCAAATACACCTGGCAGTGTTGTCGGCCCCCTCCCTATGCACTTGTTTGTAAAAAAGGATATCTTTGTATTCGGCCACAACAGAAACTCTTTCGCACCGCCACAAAAGGGAATCCTTTTGTAGTCCGCCACAAAAAGGGAGTTCCGCCACCAAAAATCCTTCTGTATTCCGCCACAGAGGAAATCCTCTTCTACTCAACAACAACAAATTCTTCTGTACTCTGCCACAAAACGATATCTGTGGTGCTGCGCCACAAACGCAATCCGTGTGTAATCCACAAAACTACTGACAATATTGCGCCTTCGCAACAAAAAAACACTCCAAGTAAAACCGTTAGCTTCGTCAGTGCGTGCACAAAATACATCATTGTATGTTAAACATTTTGTTGTTCATTGCCAAGCGCCGAGATCACACATATTATATAGGCATGTTCTGGCCATGGGTATTGTTCGTTATGATTTTATGTGGGCGCGCAAGTTCTGTTGAATTGTTACTGGGGGAACAAAGAAAACCTGGTGTTTCCGCCATGTTTGTTTCGTAGTTTGAAAAATCATTACAATCTAATTGATCTCTGCGCCTGGCAATGAAACGCAAACAATTTGGATAATTAAGAATTGCTGAGTCTCTGTGTAGACACGGACGAAACTGATCGTTTTACGACAAAATGTATGAAAACATGTGAAAGGCACAATGTTTACAGCACCCCCATCAAAAGGATTCCCTTTGTGGCGGAATGCCAAAGGAGGCCATTTGTCGCGGAGTACAACAGAATTCCTTATGTGTCAGAATACAAATGAACTCCGTCTGTTGCGGATTACACAGGGATCCCCTTATGTGGCGGAACGCAAAGGGAATTAATTCTTTCGCGGCCGAATACAACAAAACATTCTTTGTGGCAGAAAAAATGTAAAGAGATGCAATTTGTGGCCGATTACAAGAAAAACTCCCTTTGCGGCTCCGTCTCTGACGGAATACAACAAGATTATTTGTGTAACAGAATGCAGAAGGATATCCTTGTAGCGGAATACAAAGGCTTTCCTTCTACGGTGGAACGCAGAATCTTGCGGGGGACAGGGGGGCCTGGAGAAAACCGCCAACTTCAAAATCGTCAGTTTACAACGGGGGTGGTTTCAAAATTCCTCGCGTCTCTCACTTGCCCACTCTCCTACAAGCACCGCAGTGCCTGCGTCCGCCGCAGAGCCTGAAGGCACTGGGAAGATGGCGGATAGGAGCGCAAAACTCAAAAATCTTCACGTTCATGGGGGTGCGTTTTTCGATGTTCCTCGTCTTCCCTCGGGGGGCAAGCGCTTTCACTGCGGAGCGGGCGAAACGCGCGGTGGCTAGCAGCAACCTCGGGGGCGCCGGCGAGCAGCCAGCCCAGGGCGAGAGAGAGAGCCGGAGAGGGAAGACACAACGCGTGACGGCGGGCAGCCATCTTGAGAAGCAGCATGGGTTCAAGCCGAACTCCATTCCTCTAGTTCGTCCCCGTCCGGAATGAGAAGGACAACCAAAGCGTTTCGAAGTGTTCCAGAAACAGCGTTCATATTGTCCAACATGGGTGTCACTACGCTCTGCACTTCATCATGTAGAAAGCCATTCGGAGCCCGCTCCCCCTTCCACCTGGCGCACCGCAGTGCTTCCACCGAGCTTGCGCCGGTCAGGGCTGCCCGCTTCGTGGAGCAACGCCCCCCTCTATATGTCGAAATATCAACGCGCCCGAAAAGACCTTTCGAACCAAGAATAGCACAACTCTTGAAATCATTCCTGAAATGCTTAGAAAGTGCGCCACCGATCGTAGCAGTTGATCGGCCGTCAACAGTAAATGCTCGCATCGCAGAGTTGATGTTGCCCACGCGGCCCGCGCGTGGATCTGCGCACTTGTGCCGGGGCCAACTACGCAGTGACGTTTCGCTGATGGCGCAATGTAAATTGGCATGAATTGCAATGTTGGCAAATCGTTCCCTGCTGGTTGCTGCGCCATGCAAACCGCCATCGACTGCGCGCGCAAAATAACTAATGGCATCGATGCGCGAGGAACAAAATTTGCAATTGAAAATCGAACTGGCAACTGTGTCCATCCTCTCTCGTTGCTCGTGCGCGCTACATGTTCGTTAAATGTGCTGTCCAATGCATCTTCTCAAGCAATTATCCAACTGTCTTTAATGCCACGTCTTTGCGAACCCAGACGGCCCCTCGATCGGGGGGGCGGGATAATCTCACCAGCCCTCTGGGCGC